TAGTTCACAAATATCAATCGTGACTTTAAATAAATGGTCAGACTGAAATTTCTCTGCCGTAGCATTCAGGGTTCCGACATATTGCGTTATTTAGACTCGAAATCTTGGATCGAAAAGCAATCATGTTACAGGAGACCTTGTAAACAGCTAAGCAGATTTCATGTGCTTTTACTCCACTTTTTTTTTCCAATGAGCATCACCAATGGCAAGGAAGGGCCAAGTTGCTCTGAACTTATATCCAATTTGAGAGGTAGTGAGCTCTGTGTAAAAAGAAAAGCTGGTACAGCAGTCAGAGATCCGACATTGTGATGATGTGTTGTTTTCACTACTGTATGTATAAAAAAAAAATCACATTGCTTCCATTCAGTTTGTTGAGTATGGTTCTACAAGTACTGTATACTGCGGTTGATCGGTGATGCCATTTGTAGTCCACTTTTCAAAGTTACCCGAGGTAGGCTCGAAGTGAATAAGCGGGATAAAAAAATGCAGTATGCTCCTATGTATATTTACGCTCATTATAATCCTGTTTTTGTTTATTTTGCAGCCTTTCCCAGCATGATAAAGAACTATAAAAGTGTTGAAATTATTCTATAATTTCTGGCCACATTCGATTTACTGTATGTCTACACGTATTGGGACAGTGGCGCGATATTCTTATGTGTTGCTCTCAAGCAAAAGCCATGGACATGTGTACAGTATATGTGCATACTGTACATAGTAAACAGAACCGATGACCTGCCTTGAACGTGATCTTGTCCTTCTCTCAGCTATATTTAGACCTGTACTGCTCTGAGATCAGATGTTGATGTTGGACGGTGAATGTTTGCTGTGTTCTGGACAGTGGTCCACTGTAGTCGGTCAGGAGAGCAACAGGCATCCGAGTATACTGTAATCGTGTTTTATAAAAGACATCTGTAGGTTTACTTTTTGGGGAAGTTTTAATGAACTCAGCCATCCATGTTCTGGACCATACGTCCTCAGTGGGTTGCCAGCGAGCTCGAGGCTGTCTCAGATTTGGGGCGAGGGGTGGGGTACATGAAGGACGGCCAATCGCTGAGCGCATTTAGACAAAAAACATTCCCAGTCACATTCACACTTACCCGTACACGATTTAAGATAAAACACCACGCAAGCACGGGCAGAATGCAATATCCGACACGCAAAAAAAGGAACCTTCTTACTTTATCGATCGGGTGACGTGAGGTTTTGTCGTCTGCTGGGACTTAACTATTGATGGGCAGCAGGGGGCGTCGTTGGCTTTCTTGTTTTGATACTTTGCTCTCAGAATCTGTACAGTATAGTATTATTAACATTTGTTATATACATGGGTTGTTTGTCTACCCTGCGGCCTAACAATTCCTCCCTGTGTGTCGTCATGAGGACACAGTCACAGTGAAAGGGGAGACCAGTTGGAAATGGCAGCACGAAGGGGGCTGTTTTTTTTCTGCTTCTTCAGATCAAATTTACAATTGATTTTCCGGCCAAACAAAACATATCCTCATTAGTTCCTTTTTGCTCGCACCTGCAATCTTACTTAGGCTCGTCAATGTTCAATACGTGGCCGTTGACAGCTCTCACGCTCACACACACTCCACGCGGCGTTCCCTCATTTGTTTTGCCTTTCTCCTCCTCACCTCTTGCCTCCTTCCTGGTGTGATGTGTGAGGCCTCCCAGCTAATTCCCACGCTACAAAAAATGAAAACAGGAGGTAGCATGTGTTTAGATGTGTGTGGGTTGACCTTTGACACGAGTCCTGTGTCATTCCCCATCAAATAACATCTGGCCTTATTCTTTTATGTACCCCTCTAGCATGCATATCTTACTTAAATCCCTCAGCCCCGGTTCCCATGAGCACATTACACACACATTTACTGACACTGTCATTTTCCATCCTGACATTCTGACTCTTAGCATAGTTGCACATACTCCATGACTGATTAAAGGTCTCCCTTGGATTGGCCTTTTAGTTCTCAAAAATCTACTGGGAGTTTGGACTATTGCTAAAGTAAATTAAATGCCAAAATCTGTATTCACTTGCCAGTTTACTTGACAGTAATTAATGACAGATAAGTTTCATTCTATTGGGAAGTGGTAATGATATGTGTTAATTCCATAATATTATGAAGGCTTTCAGTATTGTGTACACAGTATGGTTTCCACAGAGTAAAACCTTCATTTGAACACCAAAGAGTCTTGCTGTCTTTGTCCTCATTATAAGTTTGAATAATAAAAAAAAGATAAGAAGATCATGTTTTCCCTTTAAAATAAGGAAGTAGTAAAATAAAAGGGTGGTCAAACAGTCTCCACATTATGCAGTCATCACTATATCGGTTCTTTTTTTCCTACTAAAAACCAATACACATTTACTGCTTCCTAATTCAACTTGAGAAAAAAAAATGAAAAGACTTAACATACTAGAAAGAAGAAAGGCTTTCAAAAATATTTTTTGGCAGAGGAACTTAAACAAAAATATGGTACACGTCCTGAGGTCGACTGGTTAGCACTTCTCACAATGCAGAGTTGCAGGGTTCGAATCTGGGCTGTGGCCTTCTTGTGTGGAGTTTGCATGTTCTCCCTGTGCCTGCGTGGGTTTTCTCCAGGTAGTTTTCCTCCCCCATTCCAAAGAACTGCATAATAGGTTGATTGGATACGCTAAATTGTACTTAGGTGTGATTGTGTGTGTGAATGGTTGTTTGTCTTTGTGTGGCCTGCAACTGTGTGGCAAACAGTTCAAGGTGTACCCTGCCTACTTCCTGAAGACGGGTGGAATACGTTCCAGCACGCCCGGGACCCTCGTGAGGATAAGCGGTTCGGATAATGGATGGATGGATCAACATTGTATAGCAACATGTTGACAACATTGTATAGTTCTGGTAAACGCGTGATGGCCGCACCATATTTACGCACTGCTTAATATCAGACCGATGAATATGACAGTATATCTGTCCGATAGTTGTTGTGCATGCCCCAAATATTCCAAAATACACAAATATATTGTCTCTAATGTTTCAAAGTACAGTATATTGGTGAATTTGAGCTATGAAAAAGTGAACAGTAATATCCCTTTAACCTTGTTGCGCAATGCTTGAGACTTGTTTGCTCCCAAATAAACTGAGGCAAGACCTGGCAATAAATGCAAGCTGCACATCCTGGGAACAAAAGCTGAGGTTAGGATGTGGGCGTGTGAGAAAAGTTGAGCAGAATTGAGTTAAAGAGCGAAAAGGGGGGTTGTCATTTGCGTCACATAACTGGAGAACAATGCTGAAGGTAGAAGACCACCAAGGTCATCGTGTTATGAGTGCAGTGTAACCGAAGGAACAAGACGCCAGCCTGTCTCTTTTTCTCTCTCTCGCCCATTTTCTCTGCCCGTTGAGTGGAAAGTTTCACTTGATGTTATGCTGACATTGTCAACATCAATAACAGCTCTGTGACATTAAACACGAAAGGTATGACAGTTTTCAATGATGGGAAAGGTTCATCTAAGCTTAATCTTGTACACCAACAAATACGCTGATCACACTGCTTGCATTAATGAAGTCCTTTATTGACAGGAAGAGTCCAGTAATCCTTTGTGGGGGTGGGGGGGGGGTTGGATTGTGATGTTTGATTTTATTTTAAACACATGCTGGAAGCAGGAGTTGTTTTCGCTCAAGATGAAGTTGTTGTAGTACACATTTTCATCAATAGTGGGAGCTATCTCCATTATTTTCGGTATGAACACACCAGCAGGCTTGAACGAACCTTAACCTACGCTTGCTCAACGAACCTTAACCTACACTTACTCAACGATATGGGCTCAACATGCCAAGCGTTGAAAATCTTGGTGTCCCATCAAAACTGCACTGAACATTCACACATCCACAAGTACAAATGTAGAGCAAGAATTCCTCTCAAATGAATTGGTAAAGGGTTTTTGGGGGACGAGCTGCATACGTAAGTTCCCTCACAGCTGCCTCAGTTCCCCAGGCAGATCTATTTCTAGCTTCTGACGTCACTGGTGTCCTCTGATGGAGCCTCGTCACAGCCACTTTCACCGAGCTGGCACGGGGCGGGGAGGGAAATCGGCCTGGGTAAGGTAGAGGGAATCATCATTGAGGTAAGGGCTGCTGTAGCTCTGCCCATCTGCGCTCTGTCACGCCAATCATGTGCGAGATGGAGCACTGCATCACTGTGCTAGATGCAGCCACACCCCCCCCCCACTCTTTGCATTACTCCGGGGTGGGTTAGGGTGGCCTATTATTTGAAGATGAGGAAAAATACCCAAAGTTCTCAGCACATAATTTTTCACCCATTCACATTACCGTACAACAAGGTTACTTCTCATTGTACATTGCGTTGCTTCCAGTGTATCAAAAATGGATAACCCGAAGACGAGTGATCATGTGCTTCAGTGTGCCCTTGTGCAAGGCAATGTTATCCTGAATTGTTATATTAACACCAGCAGTATCATGAGAGTTACATAGTGTACATAGGTAGTCTTTAAATGCGGTGACTGGTTAAGGAAGGGTGTGGAGAGGTTATACGAGTGAGTAGCGTGACTGATGTAACATGCTTCACGTCAGTGTTGATGTCATGTTGATGTCACGTTGATGTAATGAGCTAGCGCGGAGGAGGTGTGCATATTATGCGCCTCTGAAAAGCAACATATCTCAAGGTCAAAACGATGCTTGCATATTTGGCAAGGATCAAGAATGTGTTTTATGCTTTCATCATCAACGTTTCACAATTAGCCATACCTTGTGGAAATAATAGATAGACTGTACAGGAGACAGATTTGCCATAACATTTTGACCATTTTAATCTAACAAAAGTCAATTCAAAAGTGATTCATAGTGTTTCCTTTTTGTATCTCTCGTGTATTTAGTTGCACCCATTGAACGAGCTCAGCTTCAGTTGCAATGCATCATTATGCTTTTTGTCCTTGGTTTTAGTTATCTGGTTAAATAAAAACAAACAGTGCATTGAATGTTGTACCTTTCTCTGTCTCTGTCTTTTTTTAGTTTTGATGTGGAGAATGGCCTTTCGGTGGGTCGCAGTCCTCTGGACACTCAGACCAGCCCGGGTTCTGGTCTGGTCCTACAATCCAATGTCCCTCACAGTCAACGGCGTGAGTCTTTCCTCTACCGCTCCGACTCCGATTATGACCTGTCTCCTAAAACCATGTCACGCAACTCATCCGCGGCCAGCGACTTGTGAGTACTTCATTACTTTTTTTTTTCTTGCAGTAAATGAGTATAACGAAATGTACTGTACTCACTGTTTTGTGACTATTTCATATCCCCGTCTGTGGTCCCATCTGTGGCACAAGTGGCACCTTGTCCACCAATATATACCTGTATGTTGCACCTTTGTTTTAAAGGGAGGAGGGATTGAAGCAATGTGAAGTCAGTTGGCTCCCTCGGTGAGGCAAAGGTGTAAAGATTGCTGTGATCTAATTCCCATGATTTAAATCACTGTGTCTCCCTGCTGTCCCTTGAGCACTGACCCTCTAAAAGCATCACCATTGCAAAGGTGCTGAACAGCCCAAACAGTCACAGCATGCATTTGTTATATTGTCTTCTTCCTAAAATTATGGCCTAAGCCTTTTTTTCCCAAAATGAAATGAAAAACTGAACCGAATACATATTGTATTTATCAATCATTTCATTTCAGGGGTAGAATTGAATAATCTGTTAAACTAAGGCCCTAGCCGATTTTAGCAGAGGTGGCCAGCATCCCGAGATGTAATCAAAATATGATAGGCCATCATTTTAAGAAGGTGACGATATGATGTTTTGTCACATACCTGTAGGTGTGGAGTTAAACTTAGATTTACCATTATAAAATCACTAGAATGTGCATCCACTGAAGAATGTTGTTATGAACTTACAAGTTTCAGTGTCGATTGTTTACTTGTACTACAAGCCATCACATCTGCAGACATTTCATCTTAAAATGTATGCAAGGATTGCAATATTGTTTCCTGGCTTGTTTTGTCACATTCTTTTATCTCATCTCTGATAATACTGATCAATCGTAACTCATGTCCACGTCAACCTAAGTTAGGTTAATAGATTAAAATTTAATATGTAATGAACTCTGAACAATTACGGCATATAAGCTTCTCATTTCCTCATTCTAGTAAGTAAGCCATGGAGAGTATAAGCCTTTTTTTCCCAAGGTTGAAGTGGGCATAAGTAGAGATGTCCACATACTGTAAATCTTGGTGCCGATTGAGCGCCGTTTTTGGAAATTATTACCTATGTATGTACAATGATTTTGAATAGACAATATTGTCTGTCTCCTCCCACAACTCCCACCAAAACATGGGAAGACTGAGGGAATGTGCTTATATTGCTGACTAGAAAGGGGTGTTTACCAGTATATTTATTCACTGATTTCACGCACACACACACACACACACACACGCACACACACAAGGGCCCGTACACAAACACGGGCATTTTTTCCCCACTGTGAATAAATGTTGCAAAAAGAACGCACGCAGACAAGGGCACGTACACAAACACGGGCATTTTTCCCCACTGTGAATAAATGTTGCAAAAAGAACATACTGTAAGTCTCATGATGCTGACTAAAAAGAAAAGCCCTTTTGGAAGCAACAGTCAAATGGAACATCCAATTAAAGTCTTACAAAGTGCATGTTTGTATTTGCAGGTATGGAGAAGACATGATAGTTACCCCATTTGCACAGGTTGGTAGCATTTAAACATCATCCACGCTGGAGATATTCACCACAACAAAAATGCTGTTTAGACTTCCAAGTATTTTTCATCACAAAAGTTTGATTTCAATCCTTTTTTTGCATACTTGCTGTAAAAGTAGCTGTAGTTTTATTGTTATTCTTAAATAAAGGATGCTAATTATTGCCTAAAAGAATAGGGCAATTGAAGATTCTTTTTGCGTAGTGCATTCAGCAATATGTTGGATTTAATTGCAACACATTTAAACTGTGAGTTTTCAAAATAAGATACTACAGAAAGTTTTCATTTTATAGACTGTTTTCATCTAAACTAATTCTTTATGAATCTAAGTGTAATTTTGTCCAGACCTCTGCACCAATAAATGTTTTCTTTAACTTAAGAATGATGTTGATCTCATCTGGCTGTCCAAAACAATACCTCTTTATTTATATAGCGCTTCCCCAACAACTGTAGCTGTCGCAATGCCCTTTTAGAATGTCCCCTAAATACGCATCAACTATTTAAATATTACATGTACAAAAGTAATATTAAGCGGGTATATTATCAAATTTGCCATGTATCTTGCTCACAGTGTCATATTGTGCTGTGTTCAGAGACAAATGAGATATTTGCAAAATTATAGTTTTGAAACACTGGGGATATTGTATGGATGATGATGAAAATACGCATCAACTATTTAAATATTACATGTACAAAAGTAATATTAAGTGGGTATATTGTCAAATTTGCCATGTATTTTGCTCACAGTGTCATATTGTGCGGTGTTCAGAGACAAATGAGATATTTGCAAAATTATAGTTTTGAAACACTGGGGATATTGTATGGATGATGATGATGATGATGAAGATGAAGGCAATAATAGTAAGACCCCAAAGGACATGACTGATTGAGCCTAGCGATTTTTCAGCATGATCTGAATCAAACTGTCAAGGGAAGGCAAGGCAGGCAGCTTTATTAATAATACATTTCATCCAATAGGCAACTCAATGTTCTTCAGACAAGCAAAAACACGACACCTAAAAGCATTTACAAACACAACAGCTTACGACATTCGGAAGCAAAGCAAAACAAAAACAAAAGGGAAGTCAAGTCATCATCTAAATCCTCGTGTTCTACGCTCGAGGCTGCATCCTCACTCCACGTTTATTTGTCTCCTCAGATTCTTGCCAGTCTACGAACAGTGAGAAGTAATTTTGCCGTTCTCACACATTTGCAAGATCGTGTGGGAAACAAGTAAGAGCAAGCCAATAGACTGATTTGATGCCTTCTAGATGTTTTTCTATCACTCATCTTCCCAATTGGTGCTTGTTGCAGGTGGCCGCCAAGCAGTAACCAGCCGCCCCTGTGTAAACCATGTCACACAGGTCAGTCACGGCACCTCTGCTACAAAAGCTGAATGCGTGTTTACATGTGGTTTATTATCATAACTATCCGCATTTTCATACAAACATGGTGAGCAAATACAGAAACTCTTTCTATGAATTGTGAAGTGAAGCAGGTGCAGTGCCCTGAGATTATTGGATGTCATTCAATTTACTGACCCGGGACCTGTGTTTGTTCTTTCAGAGGAGCCTTATCAGAAGTTGGCAGTGGAGACTCTGGAGGAGCTGGACTGGTGTCTCGACCAGCTCGAGACACTTCAGACGAGAAACTCGGTCAGCGAGATGGCGTCTAATAAGGTGAGAATATGGACCGTTAAGATACGTCCGCTCATCTCAGGTCTTATGAGCTATATGCTATTGCTTTAAGTAATGCACAAGGTACTCATGCGTGTGAGCTCTCCATTTTGTTCAAATTTGGGCACCCTGTGGCACAAACTGCGGCTTGCATTCAGGTAGCTCACGATGTCACCCATCAGTGCCATCTCTCATTCCATTTTATTGCCGAATATCACTCAATTTAAAAACTAACTCCCGCATGCCTACAACAACAAATTCTGGTCATTAGCAGTGTCTGCTAGAACGATTTCACTGATGGCAAGGAATGGCACGCATAAATGCCAAAATGTGTTTCTCATTGAAATTGTACATCAAGCAAGAATGGGAAAGAATTCCATCGACAAAGCTTGAGCAATTACTGTCCTCAGTTCCCAATCGCTTATTGAGTCTTGTTAAAAGGCGAGTGTTATTTACACACAAAAAAGAATGTTATGATTTTGAACATTACATATGTTGTCCTTGCAGTGTATTCAAAAGAATCCGTTAAAAGATGTGCAAATAAATGTATTCTGTTCTTATTAATTTTTTACACAGTCTCCCAACTTCATTGAATTTGGGGTTTGTACAATTCAGTGCATTTTTGTTTTTTTTTTTAATTAAGAGCATTTAACAAATTTAGGGCAGAGCCAGTGCGAGTGTGTACAACCACTCAGGCTCATGAACAGTGATTTCACTGAAAGAGTTAACCCATGTCCATCCCTGCGCCGCTTCTTTCCTCCTCCGTTTCTGAGTCAGCGAGTCAGCTTCTTCTCCTCTGCCCATCCTCTGAACGAGGCCAATCTGATTGGACAGCAGGGAGCCAGCGCTGTAGGCTGGGGGAGGGGCAAAGGATTCTTACAGTCTCCGCTTTTTATGTTTCTCATTGACAGTGTGTGAAAGTACTTGAATGGGCGACGGCATTCGCTTCTTTTCACCCCCTTTAGCACACCACATTTCCAATCATCTCCTGCACCCCCCCACCCTATCCTCTCCCTAACAACGCACCCAACCTCTGCATTACCTTCAGGACTGGGCAAACTTTTATTTTCAGTGGCGCTGCTTTTGTTTTTATTCATCCATTTATGCGGAGTGTAAAGCAGCGCGGGAAGCGGTTGGAGCCTGGAACTGAGCAAATAATTAATTTATCTGCCCACTCGGTTGGATTTTAAGCAGAGAAAGATCAACATGCATGGAATGGCATGCCCGTGTTGGTTCTTTGGGATTGTCTGTGCGGGAGACTCAGACAGGTGAGCACGCCTTGTTTACATCTGGATTGGGATTTGTAGTGGTGGGTAGTGCAGGCTTTGCGAGGGCTGTGTGACAAGTGAGGCACTTACACATGAACGGGACATGCATGTTAGCGAGAGCAGTCATGATATTGGGAATGTTGCATTTGTACGCATATTCCATTTTTACATTATGTGGATAAATCAGGATGTATTGTATTGTATTGTATTGTATTGTATGGGGATATTGTATGGATGATGATGATGATGATGAAGATGAAGGCAATAATAGTAAGACCCCAAAGGACATGACTGATTGAGCCTAGCGATTTTTCAGCATGATCTGAATCAAACTGTCAAGGGAAGGCAAGGCAGGCAGCTTTATTAATAATACATTTCATCCAATAGGCAACTCAATGTTCTTCAGACAAGCAAAAACACGACACCTAAAAGCATTTACAAACACAACAGCTTACGACATTCGGAAGCAAAGCAAAACAAAAACAAAAGGGAAGTCAAGTCATCATCTAAATCCTCGTGTTCTACGCTCGAGGCTGCATCCTCACTCCACGTTTATTTGTCTCCTCAGATTCTTGCCAGTCTACGAACAGTGAGAAGTAATTTTGCCGTTCTCACACATTTGCAAGATCGTGTGGGAAACAAGTAAGAGCAAGCCAATAGACTGATTTGATGCCTTCTAGATGTTTTTCTATCACTCATCTTCCCAATTGGTGCTTGTTGCAGGTGGCCGCCAAGCAGTAACCAGCCGCCCCTGTGTAAACCATGTCACACAGGTCAGTCACGGCACCTCTGCTACAAAAAGCCGAATGCGTGTTTACATGTGGTCTATTATCATAACTATCCGCATTTTCATACAAACACATTGAGCAAATACGGAAACTCTTTCTATGAATTGTGAAGTGAAGCAGGTGCAGTGCCCTGAGATTATTGGATGTCATTCAATTTACTGACCCGGGACCTGTGTTTGTTCTTTCAGAGGAGCCTTATCAGAAGTTGGCAGTGGAGACTCTGGAGGAGCTGGACTGGTGTCTCGACCAGCTCGAGACACTTCAGACGAGAAACTCGGTCAGCGAGATGGCGTCTAATAAGGTGAGAATATGGACCGTTAAGATACGTCCGCTCATCTCAGGTCTTATGAGCTATATGCTATTGCTTTAAGTAATGCACAAGGTACTCATGCGTGTGAGCTCTCCATTTTGTTCAAATTTGGGCACCCTGTGGCACAAACTGCGGCTTGCATTCAGGTAGCTCACGATGTCACCCATCAGTGCCATCTCTCATTCCATTTTATTGCCGAATATCACTCAATTTAAAAACTAACTCCCGCATGCCTACAACAACAAATTCTGGTCATTAGCAGTGTCTGCTAGAACGATTTCACTGATGGCAAGGAATGGCACGCATAAATGCCAAAATGTGTTTCTCATTGAAATTGTACATCAAGCAAGAATGGGAAAGAATTCCATCGACAAAGCTTGAGCAATTACTGTCCTCAGTTCCCAATCGCTTATTGAGTCTTGTTAAAAGGCGAGTGTAATGTAATTCAGTGGTAAACATGCCCTGTCCCAGCTTTTTTGGACAGGGTCCGCAGGCATCAAATACAAAATGTGTATATTTACACACAAAAAAGAATGTTATGATTTTGAACATTACATATGTTGTCCTTGCAGTGTATTCAAAAGAATCCGTTAAAAGATGTGCAAATAAATGTATTCTGTTCTTATTAATTTTTTACACAGTCTCCCAACTTCATTGAATTTGGGGTTTGTACAATTCAGTGCATTTTTGTTTTTTTTTTTAATTAAGAGCATTTAACAAATTTAGGGCAGAGCCAGTGCGAGTGTGTACAACCACTCAGGCTCATGAACAGCGATTTCACTGAAAGAGTTAACCCATGTCCATCCCTGCGCCGCTTCTTTCCTCCTCCGTTTCTGAGTCAGCGAGTCAGCTTCTTCTCCTCTGCCCATCCTCTGAACGAGGCCAATCTGATTGGACAGCAGGGAGCCAGCGCTGTAGGCTGGGGGAGGGGCAAAGGATTCTTACAGTCTCCGCTTTTTATGTTTCTCATTGACAGTGTGTGAAAGTACTTGAATGGGCGACGGCATTCGCTTCTTTTCACCCCCTTTAGCACACCACATTTCCAATCATCTCCTGCACCCCCCCACCCTATCCTCTCCCTAACAACGCACCCAACCTCTGCATTACCTTCAGGACTGGGCAAACTTTTATTTTCAGTGGCGCTGCTTTTGTTTTTATTCATCCATTTATGCGGAGTGTAAAGCAGCGCGGGAAGCGGTTGGAGCCTGGAACTGAGCAAATAATTAATTTATCTGCCCACTCGGTTGGATTTTAAGCAGAGAAAGATCAACATGCATGGAATGGCATGCCCGTGTTGGTTCTTTGGGATTGTCTGTGCGGGAGACTCAGACAGGTGAGCACGCCTTGTTTACATCTGGATTGGGATTTGTAGTGGTGGGTAGTGCAGGCTTTGCGAGGGCTGTGTGACAAGTGAGGCACATACACATGAACGGGACATGCATGTTAGCGAGAGCAGTCATGATATTGGGAATGTTGCATTTGTACGCATATTCCATTTTTACATTATGTGGATAAATCAGGATGTATTGTATTGTATTGTATTGTATTGTATTGTATCAATAAAAGCAAGAGTAATCCCAGGAATGACAGAGTGACTCAACTAAACAGACGCAACGTTATTGCTACAAGATGTTCATCTACTGTATCATTATGCATATTTGTGTCAGTGACTGGGGCACATAGCATGTGTGTGACCGCAGCACCATTACAGTATTCTCACCCAGTATCCTCAGTCTTATCACACTTATCACGTGTGCTGTGATACAACATAAATGCTGAATACTTATATTTTGGGGGTATCTGAAGGGGAACATTTCTGAAATTTTGAAGTTTGTGCAACATTCGCCCCGTTCAGAATAACTTTGCAGTGTGTTGTTGAATGGACATACATAACTGGCATTAAATCTGTGAGCCAAATGATGGCCCACATAGTCTTTCATCTGACATAGTACAAGTAAGCATACAAAACAAATAACAAAAAAATCTATAAATGAATGACTGATAACAGTATTTACCTACTTGAGATGGATGCAGCTCCACGCCAATATTGCCTAAATGCATCTACCGTTTTGTGAATTATGAGGGTTGGCACTGGGACATGAAACCTTTCAGCCACTGTGGCTAAACAGTATAAAAATCTCTGAGCAACATTTGAGTGTAGTTAGCCACACTATCTTGTGTTTGTGTGACTAAACTCTTGGCGCAGGGCGGCGGTGCTATTTGTTTTGCCGCTATGTTGCTATGTGTGCCACTCATGCAGGCACATAGCAGAGGCATTGTAGCCCAAATAACACAAGATGCATTTTTCCGTTATGTCGGCACAGCTTGATGGCTAACTGCATGTCGTAGTGATGGCAAAAGCCCAAGATATTTTCATGAAGGAAGTATCAATTATGCCAAATCTCCACAGATGAAATGAGGGCGCTGAGCACTTTTGGGTGGAGTGGCTGTTTTTTTTTGGGTTGTGTCAGCTCATCTCTGTTTTAGCCCCACCCAAAAATCAGGAGAACTGAGAGGATGAAAAAGAGTTTTATGCTGTATCTTTCCAATTTAGTACTAAATTGTTCTCAGTCTTTGCACGTTTTAACTCTTATCATGCAACATATTTAATGTCAATCCATGATCTGATCCGTGTATCCTCAAGAGGGTTGCGGGCGTGCCGCAGCCTATCCCAGCTGTTTTCGGGCGGTAGGCAGGTTACACCCTGAACCGGTTGCCGTCAATCGCAGTGCACACACAGACGAACAACCATCCACACTCACACTCACACCTAGGGACAATTTCAAGTGCTCCATTAACCAGCGATGCATGTTTTTGGAATGTGGGAGGAAACCGGAGTCCCCGGAGAAAACCCACAAAGGCACTGGGGAGAACATGCAAACTCCACACAGAAAGGCGGGAGCCGGGCTCGAACCCACGACCGCTGCACTGTGAGGTGGAAGCACTAACCAGCCACTCACTGTGCCACCCCATTTTTATTGTATTCAAGAAAAAAAAAACACATAAAGGATTTTACAGGGTTTTTTCGGAAATCTTCGCCTTGAAACATTTATTGAAGTATGATTTTTATCAAGCAACATTTGTAATCGAGTCATTCATGTCATACATTTTTATTTTCCAACATTCAAGCACAGTGGTGATGTTTGAATGTGCTTCATGTTGCAATGACTCACGAAAATATGCAGAAAGGGTATTTTTGGAATAAAACCACTGACTTGTTTTTTTAAAACATGACGTTCCATCCCACATTGGTGCATAAAGGCGCAAACTCCCCATTCCACCCAATTCTACCAGCGCAAAGTCTAGCAGCTGACCAAAAGAAAGAAAACACCACCCATGTGCACAGTTATATTGTGCTTTTCACTGAACTTGCGCTTGGGACGCAAGTAGGGCCCTTAGTATTCTAAGGTTTCTGGCCTCTTATTGCATGACATAAAGAAATAATGCTTTTCTGTAGAAGAATCCCTAAAGTGATGAATTATTTCATTGTACATGTTGAAGTCGAAACAGTTGTTACACTAACCACATTTTTTTGTGTCCACACAGTTTAAGAGGATGCTAAACCGAGAGCTGACTCAACTGTCAGAGACCAGTCGCTCAGGGAATCAGGTGTCAGAGTTCATCGCCAATACCTTCCTCGGTGAGTTTTCGCACAAAGCAAAAAGAACAAAATGACCACCAACAGGTAAAATAGGAAGCAGGTTATATGTTCACCAAATTTAAATGCAAACCTGTCTGCCTATTTAGCTTTGAGATGCTACCAGCTGTAAAGATTTCACTTGAAATTGCCCGTACAAAACCGATTTCACAAATAATAGCTTTTTTTCGCACAAGAAAGGTAGACTGTTTCTTTAAAGTGCATGAGGAGTTATTAAATTGGTGTCCATGTAAGGCAGGGGTGTCCAAAGTCGGTCCTCAAGGGCCGCTGTCCTGCCTGTTTTCCAGCTCTCCCAACAGCAACACACCTGATTCAAATAATCAGGAACGTTCTAATGCTGCTTCAGAGCTGGCTGATGAGCTGATCATCTGAATCAGGTGTGTTGCACCCGGGAGAGCTGGAAAACAGGCAGGACAGTAGCCCTCCAGGCCCGGAGCTGGACATGTCTGATGTAAGGGATATACCGTATTGGCCCGAATATAAGGCGGCCCTGATTATAAGACAACCCCCTCTTTTTCAAGACTCAAGTTTGAAAAAAGACTTTTTGAACACCAAATTAATTTTTATACAGAAAACAATTACTGTACATCTGAAACAAATGATTCTAACAATATAATACTAATAATACTAAGACAGCCTGTCTCAGTGACAGACTGAGGCTGCTGTTGTCTTCTACTCTGATCAAAACAGTGTATCCCCTAGCGGGTACTCTATGAATTACACCTTATTAAAAATATTAATTCCGTGTTTTATGCATTTTTTTTCACTTTTGAATTATCCTGCGGGCCTGATCGAACCTCCTTGGGGGCCGGTTCCGGCCCACGGGCCGTATGTTTGACACCACTGCTCTAGAATATTCCATAAATTGTTCACATTTTCATTAACAGTTTAGCTTTGGTGAAGTCTGCCCTGTAACTGGGACATTACAGTCGAGTTGTATATGGTCATTGTAATTGCAATTATTAACACGCGAAATCTAATGGTAGTTTTTGCACAATGCTGTCCAGTAGCTCGAAATGTTGAGAGGTTCTTGATTGTTTTGCCAAAGAACAAAGGGCACTTTTACATTAGAATAGTCTACATCAGTGGCTCTTAACCTGGGTTCGACGAAACCTAGGGGTTCGGTGAATCGGTCTCAGGGGTTCGACGGACCCTCTTCCACGGAGGTTAAGACACACCCGACTCAACATGTCAATTAGTTATGACACGCCCGCTTGGCCATCACTGGCTGCAGATGATCACATGACATTGCTTGTCCAATCAGTGCAGTGGGAAATTTAGTTCGCTCTGTAGTCAACGTATGACTGTCCTGATAGTATGTTGTGTGATTTAAAAAAGAAAAAATGTTTTAATGCACGCTAAGTATGTCGAGCAAAAAAAGAAAGTGGTCGGGCAAATCCATATCACATGGATTCACATGCATCACGGACCATGATGGGACTCAGCGTCCTATCTGCATTATTTGTCATGCCAAGTTGAGCAAATTTAGTCTCGCACCGGCGAAACTGAAGGAACAGTTCTTGAAATTGCATGGAGATTTACTTTGTTCATTTTATGCACAATTTAAAAAAAATGTATGTCTTGAAATTTTATTTCCTTTTTTCTGTTTTTAATAAATGTGTTTTTTATGTCTTGAATTTGTAAAAAATCCCATTTTTATTTTTCACTAATGAAGGGTTCGATGAATGTGCAAATGAACTGGTTGGGTTCGATACCTTGAACAAGGTTAAGAACCACTGGTCTACATCAATGTGGGCATTAAGATTATTCATTTTGTCCATGTACTGTGTCTGAAGGGAGAAAATAGTATCGCTATTCTATTAAAGTGACTCACATCAAAGCAAATTTCAAGATTTTAAATGCAAAGTTATATGAAAAATAGTACATTGAACACCTCCGAAGTGCAATATAGAGATTGTTTCTCGATGAGAGCCAGGAGGAGATGGTTGCTTCTTATGCAGACAGAGAATACGAGGGTTTTTCCTCCCCTAAAAGAAGGTGGCGGCGCACTGACAGACAGCATTCCCGGACACATTGTGTGGCGTTGTCGTAGCAACAGGGTGCAATATTATTAGAGGGCATGTTGCATCAATAAAAGAATCAGTCTACATCCGCCGTGCCGGGAGGATGGTAGTTGAACCGAATAAGGAGGTAGCTGTCCCTCACACGCTGTTTTGATATGGGTGCCTTGACGTCCAGCCTGGCTGTGCTCGGAGATGACCACCATGGTTTCTGGTGTGAGAAAAAGAAGGCACTATGAGGGAGGTAAGCGGGGCCACACAGCTCCTAGGCTGTGTGATGCCAGCTCTCTGCTCGCTGTGCATCCTTATGGTGCCGTGTGCGTTTTGGGGCTCAGATTTGGATGTTATTTGATTGTCCCCATTCGGACAGTTAAATACAGTTTACGGGGATGTAGTCTAAAGCTTGTTGTTCGATCTTACTACTCCAAATTGGCACGTGGAATATTTTGCTAGATGTAAAAAAAAAAAAAAATTTAAGTAGCATGATGAGTCACTCTGAACAAGCACGTGCCTATGGAGACAGCGCCTCTGTGGCAACACGTCATCAATTGGTGGTCATTTCTTTTTCGTTATTGCATCAAGAGAGACAGGAAATATGACGTGAAGTACCGGTATTTAAAATCCCTAAGTTAAAAGAAAAATGCTAACTTATTCCCCAGTTGACCCAAGATCACTTTCTGCTGGTGTTTACACAATACACAGACAAATAGGCTTTTCTTTTCTTTCTTGAGGTTTAAGGCTGGTAGGTTTTGGTCATGAGCAAAATCTCATTGGCGAAACGCATTGCTATTTAAAAATGCTGTGTGACCCACATTTGAGGTGTGGTGTCAGAAAGAGTATTTGAGGGTCTGCAGTCGAGGGAAGAAGTTTGAATCACCTTTTATTTTCCTCTTGCTAAAACATTTCATCAATTCACCTGAAACATCTCGAAAACAAAACTCACAGCTGGATGACCAAGTGACTGACATGTGCATGAGATGACGTGTATCATGTGCGCCGGCTTTCAACATGGACATGAATGCAGTACCAATGCTGGCTACAAATGACTGAACAGTTCTATCCTGGTTTAAATTTTTTTCTTTCTTTGATTTGGTTTGGAAGAACAGAAGTGAGAATTTAATTTTACTTTCCGAAATGAGCACAAGTTCCAAAAAATAAAATAAAATTGGGAGCCAGCAAACTCAATGCAGCATTTCACACACTGACTGAATATGTGACCTATTTTTTTTTTCTGGAATGGCTCAAGGAGACATTCATCTCTTCAACCAGAGAAGCCTGATGACATCAGGGTCGTTCCAGAACTGAAGGACATTTTTACCTCCCACCTATCAAATCTTGAATAATCCTCATACAAAATACTCCGAGCTTGTCCTGAGACCAAATCTGAAAAATACAAAGCTGAAAAGTTTGCTTGAAAATAGTTTTAAATAAAACAGTGGCTAGTTTATATTTCCAAAAGCAGCACAAAACGCTGAGTATTACCCATACAAATATGTCTGTTTTATGTTTACAGTTCTAAAATTCAATGTTGTTCCCATTGCAGAAAAACAACATGATGTGGAGATCCTGTCCCCGCCGCCTAAGGAGAAAGAGAAGAAGAAGAGGCCCATGTCACAGATCAGTGGCGTGAAAAAAGTCACGCAGAGCCCCAGCCTTGCATCTACCTGCATCCCTCGTTTTGGAGTCAACACCCCACAGGAGAACCTGTTGGCCAGCGTGCGTCGACATGCAGAAACACACAGGCGCACACACGGAGAAAGAAAACGTCCCTTATGCATGTCATGTTTCACGTCCTTAGGAGATTGAGGACCTTAACCGTTGGGGACTGGATGTATTCAAGATTGCGGAACACTCTGGAAACCGCCCTTTGACGGTCATCATGTTCTCCATCTTCCAGGTAGGAACAACCAAATACGCCACCAAAAAAGTTACAGGCCAAGGGGAAAAAAAGTTGAATTACAGAAGAAATAAAAATTACAGCGAACTGCCGTTTATCGCAGGCGGATGACTTTCAGACTCACATGAAATAAGTCAAGAGCTGGGATTTACAGGCTAAATTTAAAAAAAAAAAAAAAGAAATTCTCGTTTTACCCTTCCCACACACTTGAAACATATTTAAACTAATTTAAACATGCTTCAAAATATTTCTTTGCGCAGTGAGTCCCAAATATTGTGCCCTGAGAGATCATCAGGTATGCTGCGGAAAATTCTTCCAATTTCCTTGGAGTGGGCTAAAAATTATTTATAAATTGTATCTTTGTCCATCAATCTGTGCCTCTGACGGCCCACCACTCTGACCTTGCAGAGCCCCCCCCCCCCCCCCCCCCCCAGAACAATTACCTTGAAATGCTCTTCCATTCGATAGCAGAAGGGATATGATTAATTTGGTATCCACTTATGTGCCATTTGCGTTTGGCGGTGTGCCGTATTTTTCCAAATATAAAATAGGTGCCCTGGCTCAATAAGGTTGGGAAACACTGCTTTAGAGCCTGCTCTCGCGCTGAGAGATGGCAGACCTTGTATAACATCATTTTTGGGAAACAAAAATAAGAAGACGCTGTTGCACAAATGGTTCTCCAAATAAGAGGCAAAATGTGCCGGCTTCAAACTCTGTCTCTTCCAGTTGAACCCAAAATAGAAAAGAATTAGACATTGTAGCTATAAACACCAACATGTTCAACAATGTAATTTTAGCTAACACTAGTCTACTACCATAATGCTAACATATTATATGAGACACCAAAGACAGGCTAAAAGAAATTAGCATTGATGTGAAAGTAGCTCTGGTATAAACTTTCAAACATAGTCTCTCTGCTCTGTGGCAATATTTACTATTGGTGCATTTTTGTTGAGGGCCTTTTCTGTTTTTTTTTCTTGCTCTTAATGAAGCTGCATCTACATCCAGTAAATATCGATGTTGCAGATCTTCCAATTGTCCAATAAAGTCCACCTGATGTTTCTCTTTGAATCCTGCCAGGAACGAGATCTTCTAAAAACGTTCAGGATCCCGATTAGCACCTTCATCACCTTCATGATGACCTTAGAGGACCATTACCGTGCTGATGTAGCTTATCACAACAACATCCATGCAGCTGATGTTGTGCAGTCCACACACGTGCTCCTGTCTACCCCGGCTCTCGAGGTGAGCTGTCTAATGATATGGAATCTAATGTGACTAATACTTATGAATATGCCCTTTCCAATACTATGCATTTGTTCATTTCTTTACAGGCTGTATTCACAGATTTAGAAATCATGGCTGTTTTGTTTGCCAGCGCCATTCACGATGTCGACCACCCGGGCGTCACAAACCAATTCCTAATAAACACAAGTAGGTCTTTCGCTCTTTGTGTCCATATTTAGATTCAGAAACATTGGTGAGATAAGCATATTCACGAGTCATGAAAAGGCTTTTGAGCATTCTGACAAAGTTGTGTGAGAAATAGCTCATTTTGGTTATTCACTGCAAGTGTGGATGAGATTCTAACCAAGTGAATTTGCAAGGTCTCACACCGGCCATGTTGCCTTCTCACCACTCAGCTTTGACTGACACTGAGCCGTATTCATTTTGAGTTCTCTTGAGCCACACTGCATCATACTGAGAGCTGTTTCCTCATGTTTTCGTTGAGAGTCTGTCACTTTGTTGAATGAGTTTGCCTTCACATATTTGAAGCAGCTTTCACTTTTTCCTTCACAGGTTCCGAGTTAGCATTAATGTACAACGATGCCTCAGTGCTAGAGAACCATCACCTCGCTGTGGGCTTCAAACTGCTCCAAGAAGACAACTGTGACATCTTCCAGAACCTCAACAAGAAACAACGAGATTCCCTCCGCAAGATGGTGATAGACATGGTGAGACTTTTATCGGTTCATCACCTAACCTGTGAGCAAACTGCTGAAACTCTTGAATCAATTTGATTTATTGAACTTATAGTGGTAAACACATAACTGACATATACAAATGAAAAACTGAAAAAAAGGATAATTGGTAGATGTCTTCATATCGCGTTGTTTATATGTTGAAAAGAACCTATCTAGTCCTGCGTCTTGTTCTCCAGACATTTTTACTCATATCATGTCAATACGCTAGTCGGTTATTTATATACAGCAATTTATCCCAAAAGAAAACAAACAATACCCTCGCTTGCTCAAGGATACAGTGACAGTAGTCAGGAAGCTGACTAGCATCTCTCCAACAACTAGCTGCCATTTTAATTCACTTTTTGTCCGCAGCAAGGCTTGAACCTTGATGCTTTGGTTCCCAACAAATGAGCTATTATTTAATGATTACAGTGTTCCTTCTTTATTTTAACACCCATATTAAGCAAATACACTTCAGAAATGTAACTTTTCAAAAGCAAAATGAAGAATAAATACTGAGCTGGTAATTACGGGCTGCATTGTGAGTAGCGCATGCTCTGCACCCCGGCAGCGAATAAAGACAACGGAACGTCCGCGAATAATAGTTTTTCCCTTTTATCCGAAAACGGTTTAGCGAAACAAAAATTCCGCATCGGTGAATTAATGCGACTTGTAAATCTTTTGGCTGTAATGCGATATGGGTTTCTAGTTAAGATAACTTTAAGGAAAATTTTAACGTAGTCATTAGCCAATGGGAACACTTTAAAAATTCATCCAAAATCTCTGACTGAGTGTCAGATGCGCTATCACTGTTCTGCTTATTTTTGGTCGTCGATAAAGAAAATATATTCAAATTCCCTTTTCCTTGTTAAATGTACACGATTTACAATGGATACTATTGTAATGTGTCACCTCTGATGTTATCATTAGGTGCTAGCCACAGACATGTCCAAACATATGAACTTCTTGGCGGACATGAAAACAATGGTGGAGACCAAGAAAGTGACCAGCTTGGGAGTTCTGCTGCTTGACAACTATTCAGACCGAATCCAGGTTAAAGTGCCTTCTGTTCACACAAAGCGTCGAAAGTTTGCAATTGTTACTGGAGCAGGGCTGTTTTTCATACCTGTGGCAAAATCTAACCGGAGTGTAACATTACCAGTATCTTAAAAATGTTTATATATAAAAGACCCTGACTGACAGGGCATTTTGTTGTTGCCATGTTTATGTCAAGTAATTTCTTTGTGAGTGCTACTGGTTTAGAGTGGTGCGAGAGGAGGATTACAAACTTGCCGTGTCCCAATAATTCCATCTGAAACGCTTGTCTCCCCCAGGTTCTTCAGAACATGGTTCATTGTGCCGATCTGAGCAACCCAACCAAGCCCCTCGAGCTTTACCGTCAGTGGACGGACCGCATCATGGTGGAATTCTTCACACAGGGAGACCGAGAACGTGATAAGGGCATGGAGATCAGTCCCATGTGTGACAAACACAATGCATCCATTGAAAAGAGCCAGGTAACAGCCACTGAAAGAAACTAAGTTAAAATGTTTTTTTTTTAATACTTGCTGACAAACGTTTGCCTCCCAAATGTGCCTGGGACTTAACACTTAAAATGTTGCAGGAGTGTGCGAGATTCCCCCGTAGAAAGATGTTTGGTTATGTTAATCATGGATTTAAAAAAAAATGTACTTGAGGTACATACAGGACAACATTACCACTCGCAAAATTTATTCCAATATTAGAGCTGTAGAACAAATTAATTTCATAGTTTTTCAAAAGACAAGCCGTCCAATTTTTTCATTTTTGCTTCGACTTGCGAGCACAGACTTGAGTCACAAGCGCTGTGTGGTGGCGCTCAACTCAACACACTTTTCAATAAATTTCAGTTTGGCAAATATAGAATAATTCATCAAAAAAGATGCTTCAAGTTGTTTGTTGACACACCCAGTTGAAGTTTCATGTTGTTACCTAAACACGAAGCAAAGAGAGTTATACCAACAACTGCTTGAAGAGCCGCTTAGCCTAAAGCTAATGCTAATTAGCATCTGGGTTGTTCTAAACAATGGTGTGCCCCGGGCTCTGGATTGTGACCCACTTTGAGGGTCAATTTATTATTATTTTTTTTTTTAACCTGTAAAATCAATCACCAGATTGACTATTTCCAATATTACGTATATAATGCAAGGATAAAGTAAAGAACTTTGAATGTGGCTGATTTTCCTCAGTAAAATACACAGCTCATTTTTTTGAGAAGGCTGGAATGGTTTCATGGCATTTCCATTCACTTCAATGGGAAAAGAGGATTTGAGATACCACGGTTTTGAGCTAAGAGCGCGGGGACTGACTGAATTCAAGTCATATCTCACGGCACCACTGTATGGTCTTCTTCCCATGTAGTAAATTTAAGGAAACCAAATATTTCAAAGCCTGATGCAATAAAGATCTATTCAATAGCAACCACAATAAAAAACATCAAACACAAAAAGTTCCAAGGTCAAATGCGGTTCACTTGCAAAAGTTATTGTGCGTTTTGGTTTCATCCTGAAATCTCAAACAAAAGCCAATTAGCCCCAACTTTTTGTGAGTAGGGCTCTCTGATAATGTTTGATTCAGCTTTTGCATTTGATCTCGTTATTTTGAGTGTCAGTTTTCATGTTCTCAACACTGACATTCATCGCGTTTCTCATCTCTAGGTGGGCTTCATCGACTACATTGTTCACCCTCTGTGGGAGACGTGGGCGGACTTGGTGCACCCTGATGCTCAGGATATCCTGGACACCCTGGAGGACAACAGAGAGTGGTACCAGAGCATGATCCCACGGAGTCCCTCACCTTCTAGTCCTGACGAGTCCCACGCTGAGCTCAGATCGGGAGGTAGTCTGGGAGGGCCTAACCCTTCAACGGGGGTCGGCGGAGACAAGTTCCAGTTTGAACTGACACTGGAGGAGGAAGAAGAAGAGGACGATGAGGAATTACAGTCTGACCTAGAGAGTCCACTCGAGGATGACCCCCAGTTGGGGATGGAGCGGCACCAGGACTCGTCATCGCCCTCGACATCTCCGGACCCGCGCGGGAGGTACCACCCTCCTTCGCCACATTTGTCACGGCCCACCAGTCTGACGTTGCAGAGCCCCCACCCTCACAGGACCACGACCTCGCCGAGCCAGGAGGGACCTGATGGTGAGAAAGATGACAGTGCCCCCTGCCTGCATGAAGCCACATAACAACCAGCACAACCTGCCCTGCTAAAAAGGCCGACAGCACTGAGAGGAGGCAGGGCGGGCCCTTACCTACCAATAAAGTCTGTAACATCACCACAGTCCCTTTACACTGGAGACAGCCTCTCTGTAGACAGAGGGATGATCCCCCTCTTTTTAGTTTCATATTTATCTTGGCCACTCTTTGGGGCCTCTTAAGTCTTTATTGTTTCTCACCCTGCTTTGGGAACGTCACCTGGACCGGGAAAAAGAGCGACTCTCTCCAAGAACAAAAGGTAAAAGCAATGTCTTCCTCGAAAATATCTGCAACTCTTGGACGTGAGCAAGTGAGAGTTGCAGTGGTATGACAGGGTCCTGGAGATTATTTTGCACCATTTTAACATACACATTTCAGAATCTTATCTTGTTCAAATGATTTGTACTTTGAATTTTTGTTGAGAGATGTTGAGCTGATGTAATATTTGAACTGGCGAGGAGCTGCGACAGAATTGATGGACCGAATCCTCAGGGTATGAAGAGAAACACAAATCGAATGTAGCATCGATGTTGTTCATGACCTTAAGCCCAAAGTCATTCCCTCTTAGAATTTACCTCTTATCCACACAACTGGGTATTGTCTAACCAGTTGAAACCCTTTAAATTGGGCACCTTAGAGCAATCAAAAAATGTGCGTGTGTGTGTGTGTGTGTGTGTGTGTGTGTGTGTGTGTGTGTGTGTATGCGTGTGTGTGTGTGTGTGTGCGTGTGTGTGTGTAGGAATGTATACATGTGGTCACAAAATTGTGTGTACCTATATAGGAAATCAGTTTGTAGCACCTCAGCTTGAGCACTTACAACACCAACTGTAGTCTAAGCTTCCCCCGAGATGACTTTATATGGTGCCCTTTTTCAAAGCTGTTGAGACTTACAACAGTTGATTCTCCGTTCGCTGGTCGTGTCTTCACGTGGTTGAAAAGCATTTTGTTTTGATTTCATCAGTGTGCCTCCAGTCCGCAGTAGCACTTTACCATTTCTGTTGCTCAAGCTCTTCGAATGTGTTACTAAGGGCTTCACCCACTGTAGGCCTGCACATCAGAAACGCAGTACAGGTTACCTGTAGGTGGGCAGGAAATTTAACATTTTGTTGAATCACAAACTAGATGGAACATCTCTTGAGTGAGGTCTAGGTTAAGACTAACGGTTTTCAGGTGCAAATAAGGGAAATCCCAACGATGCCAAACTTCTGAACCAAAATCAAGCTTTGATTACCTCCACCAAGCATGTGTAAGCATCGGGAGGTAATGTTTTCGAGCACTTGGGTTTTATTTCGCCGTATACACAGGCCCGTGTTTGAAATAGGGATTGGTATTTGACAGCACTTCCTTGATTGGCCATTGGGAGAACTCATTGAATATTAACCACGCGCGACCACTTGGAAGTTGAGCAAAAGTGAATGTGAGGGAAGTCCAGGGGCCTCCCATTTAATGGATTCATAAAACAGAATGGAATCACCCCTCCACAAAAACTATTTGGGAGGAATCCTGCATCGGAACAATCAGTTAAACGTCGTACTCTGGTCAACTGGAGCAGCAGTGTCGCGGTGTACGTCTGTTTTTCTAACTGATGTGGTCTAAAAATGAGGTCATGGTATAGTTTTGCTCTTGTCAGTTCATCGCATGAGAGGACCAAAATCTCTAGGCTACATTTCAATGTTTACCCAAGCACGTTGACCGCTTACATCATTTTGAACTGGTGCAAATATACAGTCCAAATAGTTTGTCAGTGATTCACAACTTCCACGAGCTTGAACACTTCTCTATCGATTGCCTTGTGCATACATTTTCTCGATATTTATCGTAGAATAAATACAATGCACTTTTTAAGAACCTGTGCAGAATGCTCAGGCGTACCGACGACGTTTGCAAGTTTGGAAACAATTAAAAGTGCTTATTCCAAACAATGCACATGATAAACGAGTGCAGCAGAGTTTGTGGTTGCACTTGAGTCGCTGCCAAAACATTTGGCAACACTGACCTTTGTCTTTCATTCTCTCAAAATGGACTTGACTTCCACCATCAATGCTTAGAGCTTCGTGCATTTCAGCCTTCACATCTTAACTCATGATAATCGGAACCACAGTGCCTGGTTGTCAATGAAGCTTCACGTCACCTCACATTATTTATTCATTTCTTTACTATTGTTTTGGTCAGCACGAGCCATGACTAAATCAAGTCATCTTCGTGTTTAAGGGACCTGTTGACTGCGATTTGAGAGCAGGATTATTGAAAAGAATGAACCCATCACTTTATTTTCATTTCGTATTAAAAAAATTAAAAAATGGCTGGACCAACGTTCATAAAAAAATTAATGTCCCTGTAATTCCCGTACATTTGGGTTCTTCATTCTCTGCCCAGCCCACATATAGCCGACACTTTTGCAGTGAATAAAAAGGAGCACCGTTTTGAAAATTGTTTCATGAAATCAACCAAGAAATCACTGATACCATTTTGGAAGTGCTTAACTGTAATAACTGTGTTCCATTAGTGTTAAAAAAAAAAAAAAACTCCTGCCAGCCTGCAATGCTACCTTTTTACACTCAAGATTTTAAATGGATGATTGTATCAGTCGTTGACTTTATAGTGATAGTTTTTACCAATGATAACTCAAGTGTATTTAAAACGGACGATTAGTTTTTGTGCAATTTAGAAGCAGTGCTCCGCATTTCTGATAGTTGAGACTTGAGAATGTGTAGTTTGAAGCCTTCTTGTGTGTGTGTGTGTGTGTGTGTGTGTGTAGATGAGCATTTGTGGCCATCATAGAGAGGAGGTGGAAAGAAAGCAGGAAGCTAACCAGCACTACACACATTTTATTGCCTTCCGGGCCAGGCTGTGGGAGGAAACACTAGTCTCAAAGTACGTCATGTCCGCGTTATCGAGCAGCCTGTTTTTATTGAGCATGTGACTTAGGGCGGCGGCCGTGGATTTTAAAAAGGACCAATGTGCTGTTTTTGACGCGCTGACACCGAGAAATAGAAATGACTATGCCAGTCACCAGAATAAATGACCTTTAATCGTCATCAAACAAAACATAGCAGTCTGGTCAAGTCAAAGAGAAAGAAAGCGCTGAAAGGTTTGGTGGCGAGTTAAACTCAGCACTGTGGTTCTTCACATATAAAACACTAGCGCCAGAAAGTATTAAATGTGTTCATGAGTGTTGTTGCTCACTTCTTGTGTTGAGCTCATGTCTCCCTCATGTTTAGTCATGTTGCTCAGCCTCCGTGTCGTGCAAACTTCTCCAATGCTATTTATTCTTCATACATGTCTGTTGAGGGAAAAGTACTGTAAAAAAAACAAACATTTAATTGTATGTTTAATCATATGTTGAGCCCCAAGATCAAATATACATGTATACAGCTTGATCTGCCACTCTGAGATTTTTGTCAAAGAAAAATGTGTCCATTTGAACCAAATGATTTTTTTTCTGGAGTTTCGGCTATTTTGTGAGGGGAAATGCCAATAAATTACATGGAAATTTATGTCACCGTCTTTTTCATGACTGTCTGATTTACACAGCGTCTTCAATATGTCAAGGTAATTCGGCTGTTTTCAGCAGAAGGCTCGGTCAAGTCTGACCGGGGCTCCGGTGCAGGCTGGAGGCTTCACTCCCTGAAATCATACAGCACATGGCAGCAACGTCCAAATGAATCTCTGCAGTCACAGGTACAAAGTATAATGGTCTATGGAGTTTACAATGCTGAGCCGTACTGCTTTTAATAGGACGATGTCGTGGAATTTTTAATACGACTGTAATCGTCACATCAACAACAAAAACGATGCATCATTTCTCACCTCGTAAAGTTGGCAAACCAAATGGAAGAGTGAGGACATGGCCTTATCTTCATACTCCTCCGTGAATTCCTGACAAATAGTTAATTTGGAGTATTTTGTGACATTGATTCACAATGGTTGGTCTTGCACATCAGTTAACTGGAGAGCAGATGGATGCAAATCAAATGCCTTTTTTTTTTTTTTTTTTTTTTATCAACACTGACTTACTCATATTTAATCTTTTTGGGACCCACAATGTCATTTTCTTGTTAATCACGCTCCATATAATGACTCATTTTTGTGTGTGTGTGTGTGTGTGTGTGTGTGTGTGTGTGTGTGTGTGTGCGTGTGTGTGTGTGTGTGTGTGTGTAAAACTTTGTAATGTTTTCTCATGTTGGACTCCCACGTGAAAACATTGTAAACCATTCTGATCACCTAGCTTGACCTTGACTTGTTGAGACGATTCCTTACCCCACTGAATGTAACCCAGGGGACGTGCTTGTGGGGAGGGTTCAGCGCTCTCGTCATGACCGCGTTGGCGTGCATCAATCTACGGCCCAGATCTCCCTTGACACAAGTGTCGATACTGACCCAAGAGATGGCGGGGGCGTGCATCTGAAGACACTACAACAGCAAGACACGCAGAAGGAGGCTCGAAATAGGACACGGATCACTCAAGGCTAAATCCCCAGCGAGCTCTTCTATTCTCAAAGCGATAGATGTGAAAGAACGCTTCTGTGTTTGTACGGTGAGGAGTTTCAATTTATTTTATGGTCGGCTGGACACTGGAAACGTATATTCAGTGAAATGGCAACAGTCAATCGGCACCACCTGGTTAGACTTCATATCAACATCCATAAATGTGGCAGCTAGACTGGCCGCTTTATCCTTCCCTCAAAGAAAACACTCACCGGCTGGGCTGCACTGAGAACGTCGGCAGCGGATTCCATGCAGTAGATAATGTGAAAAGCTGCAGGGCCGCACAAATGGAGGATGCAGGCCTGAGGGGAGGAGCAATTGATCAGACTTTTTTGTTTGTCGTTTTTACACATGTAACAATTATAAGTGCAAAACAAAAAAAAATGAGGTACCTGATTAAACATTTGTCATTAAATATCTCGATTTATTCCTTGTAACAAATCAAATTTAAGAGTCTTGATCGTATTAAATGATTGTTAATTATTATTCAATTCTGTATAAATGCAAACAAGTGAATTGTCTGATTTAACCATTTTAAGTGTTACTTCTTTCTTCTGTGTATTAGCTAATTGATGTGTCAAAAACATTTAAAAATTGAACTGACATAGTAAGCTTTTATTCAATCAAAATTAAATTCATTACAAATGCAAAACAAGTATTTGATTCAATCTTTTGTCCCTAAACTGGTTCACTGATGTGCACTTGTGTAAATATTTTTTTAAATTACTAAATTATTGAACATACATTTCACTTTTATTAAATAACAGGTTAATTATACTGTAATTACATCAATCATAACAAATTTAAGTGAAAAATAAATTTGAATAAAAAATATTATTTATTATATTCTTTATAGTTGGAACGAGCAGTCTGCTCTGTCCATTTAAAAAACAAACAAATCAAAGGTGTCCCTTGAGCACCCAAGTTTCCCCACCCTTGGATAAAATCATGCCTCACCTCAATCATGTTCCCATGGCATTCTGGCTCCCCATGCTGGCAGGTGAAGGTAGTATTGTCCGACACCAGTTCCTGCAAGGAAATACCATTTTGAAAATAACGATTTCTTCATATATAAGACTAGGAAGCACAAGAAAACAGATCGCCGCACCTTGGCGTTGCCATACGGCACCAGCGTGACATTCATGATGTCCTGCAGCATAGACCAGGTGGGGAAGAGCTGCTGAGTGATGAACGACCTGCAGCCTGGACACAGACACTCGTAGTAAAGAGCGACAGACACCGGAGGAGCCGCCTCCTTTGGACGTACGGCGCTGAGTTCCATACACTGCTTCTGCACCTGGGGCAGGGGAAGACGACAAACATGAGATGGCCCCACTTGCAGTGTTGTTGGTAACGCATAACTTCTAAATGTTCACATTTTCCACTCACAACTCATCTCATGCGTTACTTTCACCAGTCAAGTAATGACACTACAGTTCCTCTTAAAATATCACACAACCTTACTACACAAAGTACATTTACTTCTACTCGAAGATGATGTCAGCATTTTAAAGAGTAATAACCTTCGCCACCAAAGCGAGCTGCTATTAACTACTTACAACTTGCTGCAATGAGAAAAAAATTACTTCTCTGCCACTGTGTCTCCATCAAACATATTGCGCATACAATATAGTTAACCATTAATAAAATACAGTCGGACACCCGATTCCAATTCCATCGGACTCACTAAAGGCACTCAAATAACTACATGATGGAACACGTACAGTAAGAAAGGGAAATTCTAGTATGGTCAGCTTCAACAAAGTGAGGTATTGTGGGAGTCTTCAACTTCACATTCCATGTCATGTAGCCATAATGTCACGTTTTCCGCGAATTTATGACTCATCGCATGTCCATACTGTAGTACATCAACAGAGAGAGATTTGCGTTTCCAAGCTTGAAATCCAGACACTATTTTTGAGTTTGTGTCATCTTAAAACAAAAAGATTCAAGTTTGTTGCAAACACTGTACTGTCTACAGAGTGTTATCGAGCTTTAGGAACCCCCAGTATGCATTCAAGCTTAAATAGAAGATCCCACCAGATTTTGTGACTGCAGGAGGTCCCCCAAACTTAATAGTTATTCATTTTTAAACAATGTACATTATGTTAAGTTTTGCCATTACGACATTGACAGTTAAATATGTCAAGTTTAAAAATAAGTGCTTATTTTGAGTTTCAAATGTATTTATGTTAGGTGAAGTCTACAAAGACTGTCTTGATTTTTTTTAAAATAAAAACACAAGTAGCCCATCCATTTTAAGTGAAATCCAGAAAATTCTACTTTTTAATAATATAATTTTATGCAAATTATGCAATCCATCCATCTTCTATAGCGCTTGTCCTCATTAAGGTCACATTAATGAATATGACCAGATTAGGGCAAGTTTAAACAAGCCAAACCAAAGTAGCTAATAAACAACTTGGAGTTTTCAATTAACATAAAATGTTTTTGGAACGTGTGAGGAAACTGGATTACTGCCAACCATTCGGCTACTGTGCGGCCCGCAGAGAAAAACAGTCGAACAAAAAGTTCAAACATTCAGTTTGAATCCTAATTTATTGGTTTACTACGTTTGGGCCAGAAAAGCCCATCCAGTCACATGCAGAAACACTGTAAGGCCTTAAATAGCTGAAGCATGACTCTCATTTTACAACTGATCACAGGAGCTCCATTCAACTCAATCGGACTTAACCTCAAATCAGGTATACCGTTTCCATGAAAATTTCTGCATTGAGTAAGCAAGGGATGGACATCTGCCGGCCCATGACCATAAACTGAGCAGCCAAGAGTGGAAAATAACAAACATGTTTCTTCTTCTCCAGTGGACCTCCGCATAGCTGCGTCTCGGCACCGGTAGTTCCACTTTTTCAAAATTATTTTCAATTTATCTATTTATTCATTTTTGCACAAAATTAGTTTCACTTAATGTTGGTTATCTGTTCAGAGGTTTTGTGCTGCCCTTGAATGGTCATTTTTATGCAAGGGAGACCATTGTACTGGGGAAGGGTGGAGGTACGTACACACTATGTTGTTGGTTTTTGTTTTTTTTTTTTACATTGTTCAAATCCTTTGTTGTTGAAGGTTGGATCTTTTTTACAGTATCCCCATTGAGAGATGTACAACGGAAAAGTATTGTGGAAAAAATGAAATATACTAAGATACTATGATGTTAAATGGTTCAATAATAAAACAGACATATGCATGTATTTTGTCCAAATTTATAATGACGTTTTTATGTCATACATGGGGGAAAAAAAAGCGCCCATATGTCTGTGTTCTAGCTCAATGCTGCAACACTTTGTGCACTCACCTTGCATTCAACAGCAATCTCCAGGGAGCGACACCACTGCGATGGAGGATATCGACAAGAGGGTTGAGGATGAGATGAGGCTGCGCTCCAAACATGACATTGGAGGACGACCAAAAGAGCTGCAACAAGAGCCGGGAGCTTCATGTCGAGTGAATCGAGTGTGTGCTCCACACTGAGGCCAGACCCACACTATCTACTCAGTGCTCATCACTCTCCACTGACTACAGACACGTGTAAAAGACTGATGATGAGTTCACTGTCCCTCGTACACTACGTGCCTCATCGCGGTGACCAATTGTATAATAGTTGTATAATGTGGAAATTACCTGCAGACCTTGACTAGAGACATAAATAAAGCTGCGAAAAATACTACTATTGTATGAATTAGCATAATTTATGTTTATGTACAGCCTTTGCTACAGTTTTTGTTCAATTCTGTAAGAATAAATTGGAATGAGTGTTTCATTATGACGTTGAACGTGAGGAAAAGTATTCATCCGCCTCGGCACATTTGCTACAGTATACGTAAATAAATGCCTCTTTGAGCGCTCAATCTAGTGATTTTCGGCTCTTTTCGGTGATGCGGTTCATTTGGACCGGCTCAGTGAAAAGAGCTGGCTCTTTTTGGCTCTCAAACGGCTCTTTTAACTTTAGCTTTCTTTTAAATATTTATGACAAATTTAGCATACATTTTGATAAATGACTCGGTGAACTAAATATTGCACTCTACTGACTTCAAATAACAACAATTATCAAGCAAAGAAATGGCTTTTTACTTATTTTATTGAACATTAAAAAGGCTCCAAAAAATAAAAAAGCAACAAAATTAAACTTCAACCAACAACAATCAAACATACTGCATCATAACAAAAATAGTGAGTATTAACTGCAACAGCAGCAGTGAACAAAACAAACATAAGCGACTCCTTGCTTTATTTTAACAAACATAAGGTACTCCTTGGTTTATTTTAAATTTGCAGTCAACAAAACTAAATACTTCAACTTGGAATACTTCAATTTGTCCAGTCTTTGAGAACACCCTCTCTGACAGGACAGATGTTGCTACAATGCACAATCTACTCTCCATTACTTTGATCAAACGGGGGTAGACGGAAGCTCGGTATTTCCACCAGCTCAGTGGATCAGCTGCCCTTGAAATCTGTGGTTCTTCAAAATATGCCCTAATTTAGTGTTTTGTGTTTTTGCGCGCTTGGCTAATGCTGTCAATTAGTTTCAGATTGCTTGCCAAACGCCTTTGTAGTTTCCCGGACAGTAGGGGGCGATATGAACCAAAGACATCCAATTCACCAAGAAGAAGAATAAGTACAAGCACAAGAACGGTACAACATCTGGTTAAATGAGCAAGTTTTTCCGCTGTCCATAATCCCTGTTCTCAGTGAGTAATTTTAACATTTTAAACTGACT